GAGCGGGGGAGGGGCAGAGAGAGAGGGAGACACAGAATCCGAAGCAGGCTCCAGGCTCCGAGCTGTCAGCACAGAGCCTGATGGGGGCTCGAACTCACGGACTGTGAGATCATGACCTGAGCCGAAGTCGGATGCTCAACTGACTGAGCCACCCAGGCGCCCCAAAATACGTTCTTTAATATGCACACTACCTCTTTGAAATGATAGTTTTGTGGGTTGTTATTGTTTTTAACATTAAGTTGACAGCTTATCTTTACTAACAAAAGTTTATACAGAAGAATTTTCTTACTCCTAAGCCTTACAAATCCTGCTTTCAAAAGGGAAGTATTACATTTGAGAATATTCGGATCATAGACACAGGCCTCTCTAACTTCAGAATCACCCTCTTTTCCTACTCTTCCTCCAATCTCGTTTTAGTATCTTTTTCAGGGAAGTCCTCCCTGACCTCTCTGATTAAGTCACTGGCCACACCAAGTACTCGTTTTATAATGAATAGTTCTCTTTTCTATAGAAACCTTGTAACATCCCCATTTACAATCTCTGTATGATTTCCACAACCATCAATACAATTTCAATTTTATATTTAACCCTGAAATTTTGCCCTTTAGAAGGAACTTCAGACTTCGAAAATCTTGACATTTAATGAATTTATTTATTCATTCATCAACTATTTAGTAAGTGCCTGTAATGTGCTCTATCACGTGCACAGCAGTCAACAAGATGGACAGGGTAAATTGCTCATGCAATTTACACCCTAAGGTGGGAGGAGAGAGGTATAACAAACATGGTGCAGTGTCACGGAGTAATTATTATGAGATAAAACTAAAGCAGGGTAGGGGAATGGAAGCAGGTGGGTGTACAACTGTTTAGATAAGGTGGCCAGAGAAGGCGTCTTTGAGACCCGGACACTGGAGCTGAGGCGTGAGGGGGAGTAGCCCTGGCAGAGGACACAGAAAATGTAAAAGCCCTGGGGCGACAATGAACTTGCTGTATTTGGGGGGTGGGGGGTGGGGAAGGCGGCAGGCAGCGGGGTGACGGAGAGAGAGAATGGTAACCCAAACCCAGGGAGACATACAATCACGCACTGACAGACTTGATGTGTGACTACCAGGGAAAAACCTTTCCGGAGTGGGGGTGGGGGGTTGGAGTCAATGTTACGCACAAAGTGTATTCAGGGGAAATACCTTGTCGGGGGCGAGGGGAGTAACAGCAGAATGAGGGGGCACAATGAGATCGGACCAGGCATAAGGCAAAGGAGGCTGGGACGAGGGTGGAGGAGAGTGGAGGTGCTAAGTGCTCAGAAACCACGCCACTAGGCGACCGCCTGCTCGCGGGGAAGGGGCGCGGATCAGGCTATCACCCCCACGCCCCAGCCCCGAGCCGCCAGGTGGTTTCAGACCCGGAACTCAGAGGCGTCCTAACGCGGCACTCCTGACCGCAGGGAGCATCGATGGTCACACGCCTCGAAGCACACAGACCTGGGATGAGCCTCAGATCCGCCATTAACAGCCGTGGATCTCGGTGGGGAGGGCAATTTCTCCGGGCCTGAAGAGTCCTTACCTACAAAATGGGAATATTGTCAGAACGGACTTCCCTCCCGTGCAAAAACAGCTATCAAGCCAACCAGAGTCCTCCGGGTCAGTGTATCTGCGCAGGCGCGGAGCGTCCCGCTGCTGCGAGGGGGCTCAGTGCGCGTGCGCCGGGCCGGGCCCTAGCGTGCGCCTGCGCGGAGTCGCAGTCAGCTTGGCGTTGGTTCCGAGAGGGCGCGGGGCTTCGAGTGGCCGCCGGCGCGCGGCAGGCTGGCCCGAGGCCGGGCAGCGGGGCCTCCGCCATGCCCGGGATGGTGCTCTTCGGTCGGCGCTGGGCCATCGCCAGTGACGACCTGGTCTTCCCGGGGTTCTTCGAGCTGTCCCTGCGAGTGGTGTGGTAAGGGCGGCGGGCTGTGTGGGCTGGCGGCCGGCCGGCCGGGGTGCGCAGGGAGCGGGTCCGGGAGTAGCGTCCGTGTCGCCGGGTTTGTGCGCGCCGACTCGGGCCCCACGTTCCCGCATCGGGGCCTCCCCACCGCCGAGGACCTGGGTGCTGCCGTTCTACCCATTTCACGGAGGGCTCCCTGAGGCCGGAGCGGGTCGGCCAGGCCCGGGGGCACCCAGGTGGGTCCCGTGGCACCGGCGCCCGTCGCGTGCGGCGCCTAGGCCTGGCCCTGGGAGCCTCCGGAACGTCGTTCCCGACCAAAGGCCGTGACCTCCGGTTCCGCTTCCTGGAGCCGGGGAGCAGCCCTTGCATGATCACGGCGCTCGGCCTGGAAACGCAGGGCATCTTTTGTCCGCCAGAGGAAAGATGGAACATAATAGCGTGGCTGCCGTTCCCGAGCCGGTTGTGGCCGAGTTCCATGCATGAGGAGCAGTCAGGCTCAGGCTCGGGAAATATGTACCCTCTCGTCTTTCCAAGTGTGGAACCCATGGGAACTGGAATTGGGCTCCTGAGGTCTGTTCCCAACCGGTCTGAGCAGGGAATGAAACAGCACCACTGTAATTTTTTAAGAACACATTCTTGAGGGGAAAGGAATACAAAAACACGAAATATTGGAAGTGGCTTCTCAGTAGTTTTGTAATTTCCAGAGCCGAGCCTCTGAAATCATTTCCCAATATTATTTCCAGACCCAAAGTCTTATACAAAAGCATAAGATGTTATCTAGTCCAGTTCCACCTCTGGGCTTGAATCCTTAATACAGCGTTCTTGCCAGGGGTGCTCTGCCCTTTGCTGAAATACCTCTGGGGACCGGTCGCTATTACTTTGCCTTTTATTGTTATTCTGCACTGAAGTGCTGCACTGAAATCTGGAAGTCGTAATACTTGGCCTTTAACGCTTATCAGCGTTCACTATCGATGGTCTTTGGATAACTTCTTGCCTGCTGCTTTTGTATCACACAGCAGATTACAATGTGTCAATTTCTCGTTAATACACAGGAGTAAATGCTATCTTGTTAATAATTTAGCAAGCATGTACTTTGTTGATTTACAGTTGCATATTTCTTTTTTTCATTAATTTATTTGGGGGGGGGGGGGGAGGAACCTGAGTGGGAGAGGGGCAGAGGTCGAGAGAGAGAATATGAATGAATGAATCCCAAGCGGGCTCTGTGCACTGCCAGCTCGGGGCTTGAACTCATGAACCACGAGATCATGATGTCAGCTGAAACCAAGAGACAGATGTTCAACCGACTGAGCCACCCAGGTGCTCCTACGGTTGCATCTTTCTGAGTCATTATGGGGTTGCTGTTTTTCAGCAGTTCATAGTATGTTTGCGTATGGCGTTAAATACCTCTTATGAATTACAGCAGGCATAGAATAAGGGCAGTCATGTAGGCACAGAAAGCATAAAGCTAATTTTTTTAAAGTCATACTTTTTTTTTTAATTTTTTTTAACGTTTTATTTATTTTTGAGACAGAGACAGAGCATGAACGGGGGAGGGGCAGAGAGAGAGGGAGACAGAATCGGAAGCAGGCTCCAGGCTCTGAGCCGTCAAGCCCAGAGCCCGACGCGGGGCTCGAACTCACCGACCGCAAGATCGTGACCTGAGCCGAAGTCGGACGCCCAACCGACTGAGCCACCCAGGCGCCCCATAAAGTCATACTTTTTAATTGACTTAGTGGATTTTTTATTATTTTTTTTTAGATCTTTTATCGAAGAAAATTTTAGTCCAAAGTAAATTTCACCTTGTTTGGGGAAATGTTAACTCCTTTAAAATTTTTATTTTTTAATATTTAAAAAAGTTTTTTAGAAATGTTAGCTCCTTTTATTTGTTTCTGTTATGTTTTGCAGAGTAGTTCCTTGGATTCCATTTCTGACTCTCCCTATCTCTTGGCAGGTGGATTGGCATTTTGACTTTGTACCTCCTGCACAGAGGCAAGCTGGACTGTGCTGGCGGTGTCCTCCTCAGCAGTTACTTGATTGTTCTTATTGTCCTCCTAGCAGTTATAATATGTACCCTGACAGCCATCGTATGTGTCAGCATGAAAGGTAAAGCCTTTTGTATTTGCTGTCTGTTCTCTAACAGCTTGATTGAGATATAATTCACATACTGTACAATTCTCCCATTTAAAGTGTGCAGGTCAGAGATTTTTAGTCTGTTCACAGAGCTCTCCAGCCATCACCACAGTTTTAGAACATTTTCAGCATCCCTGAAAGAAATCCTATACCCATTAGCAATCATTCCTCATTTTTCCGGATTTCCTCAGCTCTAGCCATCCATGTATCTGCTTTCTGTCTGTAGGTTTGGCCATTCTGGATCATACAGGTAGAATCATCCACCATGTGGCCGTTGGGTCTGGCTCCAAACTTAGCATGTTTTCAAGGTTGATTCATGTTTTAGCGTGTCAGTACTTCATTCTTCTTATGGTTGAGTAATGTTAATTACATTGAATGTATATGCCAATTTTACTTATCCGTTTGCCAGTTGGTGGGCATTTGGAGTTATTTTACACTTTTGGGCTATTATAAATAATGCCGCTATGAACATTCAGATCCATGTTTTTGTGTACATAGAAGTTTTCGTGTCTCTCGGACGTACCTAGGGTGGAATTGTTAGATCATGTGGTCACCCTGTGTTTAACCTTCTGAGGAGCTGCCAGACTGTTTTCCAAGCAGCTGTACCATTTTTCTTTCAGTTTATGAAGCGTTTCCATTTCTCTACATCCTCACCAACACTTCTCGTTGTCTGCCTTTTCGAGCATAGCCATCCTAGTGCACTTCATTGTGGTTTTGATTTGCAGTTCCTTTTTTTTTTTTTTTTTTTTAAGGTTTATTTATTTTGAGAGAGAGAAGGGGGGGGAACACACGAACAGGAGCAGGGGAGGGGCAGAGAGTGAGGGAGACAACAGAATCTGAAGCAGGCTCCAGGCTCTGAGCTGTCAGCACAGAGCCCAATGCGGGGCTTGAACTCAGAGTCCAAGAGTCCTGTCTATTCTTTTATTTTTTTAATTTTTTTTTCAACGTTTATTTATTTTTGGAACAGAGAGAGACAGAGCATGAACGGGGGAGGGGCAGAGAGAGAGGGAGACACAGAATCGGAAACAGGCTCCAGGCTCTGAGCCATCAGCCCAGAGCCTGACGTGGGGCTCGAACTCCCGGACCGCGAGATCGTGACCTGGCTGAAGTCGGACGCTTAACCGACTGCGCCACCCAGGCGCCCCAAGAGTCCTGTCTATTCTTAATGATAATTCTTTCTGGGGCACCTGGGTGGCTCAGTTGGTTAAGTGTCTGACTTTGGCTCAGGTCATGACCTCACAATCTGTGGGTTCAAGCCCCGCGTTGGGCTCTGTGCTGACAGCTCAGAGCCTGGAGCCTGCTTCATATTCTCTCTCTCTCTCTCTCTCTCTCTCTCTCTCTCTCTCAAAAATAAATAAAGATTAACAAAAATTTTGTTTAAGTGATAATTCTTTTCTGTGTGTTAGGGTTTTTACTAGTCACTTCACCCAAAATGTTGGGAACCTTCCCTATATGATTGCTTAGGCTCACAGGATGAGCCAAGCAGTGTGGCGCATTAGGAAGTATCAAAGGCAAGGATGTATGGTGTGCCGCTCTCCAGTGCATTTCATCGTTGCTTGAATGGGGCTGCAGGAGGTATGCTTACACACTCAAAATGAAGATGGTAAAACTGGGTGGCAGGATCACGATCTTGATGGTTTGGAATGACCAACTGAAACTTAAAAGGTGGTGGTCGCTCAGTGGCCAAGTGTTTCATGAGAAAGACCATAGGGTTTTGGACGACCAAGGAGTGTGGCTTGTGCCCACTTCCTAGAGAAATGTATAGGAAAGAGAGCTCTGGGTATTTCAGCATGGCCCTGGAAACATGAATGCATGAAGAACGTCTCAGTTTTGTGATCTGTGTAATTCCCCATTGGGAGAGGTACCTTTGTGTTTTTGTTTTTGTTTGAAATAAACTCTGCCCCCAACGTAGATCTTGAATCGACCCTTAGCTCAGCAGTCAGCAGTTGCATGCTCTACTGACTGAGCCAGCCAGGTGCCCCAGCACTAAAGAGTTTTTTAATGAAGTCTGAATTTCTGAAAGATGAAGTAGTTAGATTGGTGTCATTTCAGCTATGGCATCGTCTCATTTATTTTATTATTTATTATTCATTTATTTTTATTTTTTTTTAGTTTTTTTAATTATTAAAATTTTTTTTAAATGTTTGTTTTTGAGAGAGAGAGAGAGAGAGAAAGACCAAGCATGAGTCGGGGAGGGGCAGAGAGAGAGAGAGAGAGAGAGAGAGAGAGAGAGAGAGAGGGAGGGAGACACAGAATCCGAAGCAGGCTCCAAGCTCTGAGCTGTCAGCACAGAGCCCAATGTGGAGCTCAAACCCATGAACTGTGAGATCATGACCTGAGCCTAAGTTGGAAACTCAACCAACTGAGCCACCCAGGTGCCCATAGCATCATCTCATTTATTTGCCCTTTCTGTTCATGTCATATTCTGGTTAGGAGACCAAGTGTACAGCTATATCAGGAGGTTCAGATTTAAAGCAGTAATGTAGCTTTTTTCCCCCTTAAATATTTTTTTCCTGATATTTTTGGTGGTGTCAGGGCACTTCCACACCCTGTGATGGATGGCCATGTTCACTGAGGCTCTTCCTCCTGAGCCTTTGCTTAATGCCTGCACCATCTCACATTCATGGTCAGGGCTCAGAAAACATATAACGGGTTGAGGCGCCTGGGTGGCTCAGTTGTTTGAGCGTCTGACTTCAGCTCAGGTCATGCATGACCTCACAGTTTGTGGGTTCGAGCCCCGTGTTGGGCTCTGTGTTGACAGCTCAGAACCTGGAGCCTACTTCTGATCTGAGTCTCCCTGTCTCTCTCTGCCCCTCCCCGACTCCTATTCTCTCCCTCTCTCTCTCTCTCTCTCTTAAAAATAAATATTAAAAAAAATTTTTTTTTTAACATGTCGGTGTACATGTTAAGCATTATGTGCTGGTTGTATGTGTGTTATAGGGAGGTTGCCCATCCAGCAGCCTCTTCCAGTTTTACTCAGGACACCCCCTCCTCCCCGCCTCGCTCACATAGGAAGTATGTGTGTCAGAGAAGCTGACCCTCCACCCAGCTCAGGAATGATTCTCATGGATGAGCCAGTGGACATGTGACCCAATTCCTTGCTCCTGTAGGAAAGATCCAGAAGGAACACAGTTTTTGCCCTGGGTGATTCTGTGTATGGATAAGCTGCTGAATTCCTGCTGTATCTCTACTCACAGCCTGGGATGAGCTGACACACAAAGGAGGGCAGAGCCGTGAGAAGCAAGAATGCCGGTGACACCTGTCTTGGCTCTGCACTTCCAGTCCCTGAAGTCAGGACAGGTCCTTCCTGTCCTTAAACCTTTTGTTACTTGTGGCTGGAGATACCACAACCGAACTAAAAACAGTACTTTATAAAGCATGTTAGTTTAATTGCCAGTGTGTTACAAATAATATTGTATGCCTTATTAAGGGCACCTCGGTGGCTCTGGATCTTGGCTTAGGTCATGATCTCACGGTTCGTAGGATTGAGCCCCACATAGGGCTCTGTGCTGATAGTGCAGAGCCTGCTTGGGATTCTCTTTCTCCCTATGCCCCTCTTGTACCTGCGTGCATGTGTGCACGTACCTTCTCTCTCTTTCTCAAAATATATAAATAAACATCAAAATCTGTATATCTTAAGTAAATTTCAGAAAAATATCATAAGGTTAAAAAAAGCAAAATGAAAACAATATTGTAACATATGAGACTTAAAGCCAATCTTCTTCATGTATTAGGGGTCCTACTACAATAAATAAGAAAAAGACTGATCGTCAGTAGAAAAACGGGCAAAGGTCATAAACAGTAAAATAAATATAAGTGACTTTTACATGTACTAAAAACGTTCAGCCTCAGTCGCCATAACAAAAAGTCACCCACATAATACATGGAGTTGGCAAGGCTGTGCGGAAATAAGCAGCTCGTTTTGTTTGTAAGTATACGTTGGAAGCCAGATTTGGGAAGTACACTGTGTATTAGGCAGTATTTTTGTATATATTTGCACGTGTGAAGACAAGTCCTTGTAGGTGAAGAAACAAAACGATGAATATATAGGAAGGGAAAAAAAATGTTAAGAGACTCTTAACAATAGAGGACAGACAGCGTTGATGGAGGGAGGCAAGAGGTTGCTACTAAGGAGGGCCCTTGTGATGAGCAGTGGGTGTTACGTGTGAGTGGCAAATCACTAAATTCTACTCCTGAACCGATATTGCACTGTATGTTAACTGGCTAGAATGTAAATAAAAATGGGGGGGAGGGGGGAGATGTCCTCGTAGGGATGTTCATTGCAGTGCTATTTGTAGGTATGAAAGATCAAAACAAACCCCATTCCTGTCACTAGGCCATGGGTTGGGTCTTTGCACATGTTACAAAGAATGGGGACTGCTTTGTGGACAGGTAAGGAGTAATTTCCAATACACTGAGGTACAGGACCTTGTATGTAGTTTGCTACCTTTTCCTGAAGAGAAGACAACCGAAAGACTGGGGTACAGAGGCTTAATACTATGTACCTACTTGAATTGTTTGAACTTTTTACCATTTACATGCATTACCTGCACAAAATTGATGAGTTTTCTGTAAATTGTAAGTTTTGTATATGTATGTAAATTGTTATTTTTTAATTTTTAAAAAACGTTTATTCATTTTTTGAGAGAGAGCGCGCAAACAGGGGAGGGGCAGAGAGAGAGGGAGACATTGAATCTGAAACAGGCTCCAGGCTTTGAGCTGTCATCACAGAGCCCGATGCAGGGTTCGAACCCAGCAACTGTGGATTCATGACCTGAGCCGAAGTCGGACGCTTAATTGAGCCATCCAGGCGCCCCTATTTTTATTTTCTTAAGCAGGTGTCACACCCAGCATAGAGCCCAGTGCGGGGCCTGAACTCATGACCCTTAGACCAAGACCTGTGCTGAGATCAAGAGTCAGGCGCCTTAACTGACTTAGCCACCCAGGCACACCTTAGTTATATTTTGTAATAGCACATTGGTTAATTTTATTCTTTATTTTTTTATTTTTTATTTTTAATTTTTTTATTTTTGGGACAGAGAGAGACAGAGCATGAACGGGGGAGGGGCAGAGAGAGAGGGAGACACAGGATCGGAAACAGGCTCCAGGCTCCGAGCCATCAGCCCAGAGCCTGACGCGGGGCTCGAACCCACGGACCGCGAGATCGTGACCTGGCTGAAGTCGGACGCTTAACTGACTGCGCCACCCAGGCGCCCCGATTAATTTTATTCTTGATACACGGATAATTTCTTTTGCCCCTTCTGTTCTGGGAGGCATCTCGGTGATTAACCTGTCACTTGTACTGAAAGACAGTGTTTATATAGCTTTTGGCTGACATTACTCTGTAAAGGAAACGCCCCCAGTCGCAGAGGACGCATTTGGAACCAGTGGAGCTCATCTTTGCCCAGAAGACTGATGCCTGTGTATCTACCTGTCCTCTTTTTCCTGGTCATCTGTGTAGCGTAGTTGGGAAGAATCTTGATATTGTGGTAGTTTCCAGTTTTGATTTGAGAACCTCTCTGATGAAATCCTGCTGTTGGTCCCATGTAGGAGGTTTGATTAGGGAAGGTCCAGCCTCATGACAGCCACATTTTGGAAGAACACCCTCACCCTCCAGGGTCTGCCGTTCACTGTGTTTGACCCTGATTGTGGGACATTTCCTTGCATCTCCTCTGCATTTATATGCGAGCTTGCAGCTCGTTTTGTGCTGGAGAAGATTACGGCAGTGTCTGGAGGTGTTAAGCCAAAGATTCTGTGACACGGGCCTGCCTTTTGTGGTTTGAACATAAATGGCTATGCCTGACGAAGACCAAGGCTGTGCCGAGGACATTCCATTCAAGGATGAAGTTCTGCTCGCTCGTTGTGAGGCGGCAGCAGCAGCAGCCTCGCGCACTGCAGCAGCTGAGTCCGCCCTGGTGACCCCTTGCCTTGAGAGGAAGATCTATATGTAAATAAAAACGTTTTCATAGGAATGACTATATAAAGGAGATTTTTTTTCAGCATCTTTATTTCTCTTTGGAATCCTAATCAGAACTCCATTTTCTGCTTCCCTATTTATTTATTTCATTCGCATAGTATCAGGACGTTGGGAGTTCCGGGCCCAGGTGCTGTTGGGGAATTCATTCCCTTATTCGGAGCTACTGCCTTCCGGTGCGCCCCGTGAGTGAGCCCAGATACTGTTTCCTGTTTTGCGGGTGATCGCCTATTGTTAGTAGCGGGCTCCAAATAGAGCACTGATTTTTCATATGCCTGTACTTTGTCCCTCAGAGAGAGACAGTGTTGTTTTGGTTACCTTCTATTTTGTCTTTGTGCCAAAAGTGGGGCCCAATAGTGTCTAACATTTTAAAATGTGACTCTGAGGTCATTTTTGGAACCTAAAAGCTATTTCCTCACCAAATCATTCTTTAGATCTTGTTTTCAATCATTGCTCTGGGGGCTTTTTTCCTTCACTGTTTTTGTTTTAATCATGGCATTTTTATGTTGCCTAAATCAGTATTTTATCACAACTTTTTCCCAAAGGGAGAGAGTTGATGTTTAACATCAGGAATTGAAGCACCCAGGCCTCTCTCTTGATACTTGGATTTGTTTTGTATGCAGAGTAAAAAGGCCATGTCTGAGGGCGCCTTGGTGGCTCACTCGGTTAAGCATCTGACTTCGGCTCAGGTCGTGATCTCTCAATTCATGGGTTCGAGCCCCGCATACGGCTCTGTGCTGACAGCTCAGACCCTGGAGCCTGCTTCAGATTCTTTGACTCCCTCTCTCCGTGCTCCTCCTCCATTCATGTTCTGTCTCTCTGTCTCTCAAAAAATAAATAAACGTTTAAAAAAAATAAAGTCCGTGTCTGAATAGGCCTCTTCACGTGATCTTAGGCATCAGAATTGTTCACTTCCCAAAAGTGAGTTCGTTGGTGAGACAGAGCCGGGACCACACAGACCTGGATTATGTTGTAGAAAGTAGTTACCAAGCTCTCCCAGCCTTAGTTTCTTCATTTGTAAAATGGGATGGTGGGGGTGCCTGGGTGGCTCAGTCGGTTGAGCATCTGACTTTGGCTCAGGTCATGATCTCACGGTTTGTGAGTTCGATCGCCGCGTCGGGCTCTGTGCTGACAGCTCAGAGCCTGGAGCCTGCTTGGGATTCTGTGTCTCCCTCTCTCTGTCTGGCCCTCCCCGACTCATGCTCCGTGTCTCTCTCTCTCTCTCTCTCTCTCTCTCTCTCTCTCTCTCTCAAAAGATAAATATTAAAAAAAATGGGATGGTAACTGTTTTCAGAGTCGTGAGGATTACAGAATAATAGACGTGAAGTGTTTCAGATGGTGCCTGAACGCCATAGGTCTCGATTAGGTGGTGGAGTCATTCTTGTGGCTGCTTGAACTTGGTGACTGTGTAGGTCTGTTGGCCTGGGACAGCTCTGTTTGGTGCCAGCCGTTCCAGCATAATTGTGAACAGCTCCTCCTTCCTCTCTCAGAGGTATCCCAGTTTGGCGATTATATGGTCGCCCCAGGTAGAACCCGGAGGCTTTCTGTCATGTTCCCACCCCTCATCGGTCACTGACAGTCAGTCTTAGGCCTTGAGTACCAGTTACAAGTAGACGGAGCCAGGTGGGTACCGTGCTAATAGGTGCTCTGCTGTTTCTGTGGGAAGGAAGTGTCTGAGGAAGCAGGTGACCAGTTTGAATATCTTCTGTGTTTCAGGAACCATTTGTAACCCTGGACCACGGAAATCCATGGCTAAGCTGCTTTACATCCGCCTGGCGCTCTTTCTGCCAGAGATGGGCTGGGCTTCTCTGGGGGCCGCCTGGATAGCAGACGACATTCAGTGTGACAAGACGGTTGTGAATGGCATCATTGCCACTGTCGTTGTCAGGTGAGGCCTTCCGTCTTCTCTCTCAGCTTCTTGTCTCAGGTGAGATGGAAGTCAACAGACCTTTCTGGGTAACTGCGGATAGCCCAATGGCACAGGGGCTTCCTGAAATCGTTAGGTATTGGACCTCTTTGAGTAGGTCATAAACATTGGGAGACGCTTGTTCATATATGAGAATTCATCTTTCGTTATGCGTGTATTGATGTCATTTTCTTTCTCACTGGTTCTCAGTTTTCTGCATTTCGTCCCTTGTGTTATGAGAAGGAAGAAAACCCAGATACCAAACCAAGGGCAAAAACTAAAGGCAAGAGGAGTAGAAACGCAGTGCCGGGAATTGTGACGGGGGTTGCTGCCTGGGAGTCAGGCTTTCACATTTTCCAGGCTAATGGTCTTAGAACTGATCAAGTTAATTCCTGTCCTGTTACAGAGAAGGAAAGGGGGGCTTCCCGAGCCGCCCGGGAAGCGGTGGCAGAATCCCCTCACGGGGGCGCGTCTTCCGCTGGCACGCGTTTCCCTGAGCCACAGCACCTGGCACGTTGTGCGCTGTCTGGACACACACACACATATGAATGGAAGACCTCTTGGACTCTTCCACAGTGTGGCAAAGTTCTCCTGGTTTTGCCGGGAAGAACCCTGAGGCATGGAGGAGTCTGGGTCGTGCTGGTGGCCCGTGGAGAGCAGGTTCCAGCTGCTTCCACGCCCAGGCTGCAACTGTACCTACTAGACGTCTTTTTTGTGGCCTTTACTTTTTTTTTTTTTTTTTTTTGGAGGGGGAGAGGGGGGGAGGGAGGGCGGGCACGCATGCGTGCATGAGCTACAAGCCAGGGAGGGCCAGAAGGAGAGAGAATCTCAGGTAGGCTCCACGCCCAACACAGCGTTGGATGTCATGAACCGTGAGATCATTACCTGAGCCCAAATCAGGAGTCGGACACTCAACCGACTGAGCCACCCAGGCACCCCTTTTGTGGTCTTTACTTTTAAGGCTCTGATTTTTGTGAGGCCTGGGTCAGCCGTGGATGCATAAAGAACTTTGTAGAAAAAACAAGTCGCTCACCTCAGCCTGGTTCTGGGAAATCCGCATCTTCCTCGGTAACTAGAGCCACGGCTGTACAGATGTAAAAACTGAACCCTGAGGAGGGAGCCCTGGCTCATGCATGTGGACGTGGGACCCACGGTCATCGCGCCTTCTCCTCTCTCTGTTTTGCAGCTGGATTATCATTGTCTCCACTGTGGTTACCATTATCGTCGTCTTTGACCCACTAGGGGGGAAGATGGCTCCGTATTCCTCTGCTGGCCCCAACCACCTGGACAGTCATGAGTCGAGCCAGCTACTTAACGGCCTCAAGACAGCAGCTACCAGCGTGTGGGAGACCAGGATCAAGTTACTGTGCTGCTGCGTCGGGAAAGATGACCATACTCGAGTTGCTTTTTCGAGTACGGCAGAGCTTTTCTCAACCTACTTTTCAGTAAGCCGAAGGGGTCTGCTTTCGTCTCTTCTCCTGAGTAAATGTCTCCTCCGTGAAGATGAGCCCTCTGTGTTTTGAGCCGCGCCCCCGTTGACATAAAACAGCTCTTGCGGACGTGTGGTCTGTGCATGGCAGAGCAGGGGAGATGCTCACGGGACGTGGGCTCCGGAGCCTTAAGCCGGGGCCCTGCGCTTCGGATCGGACGCCGTGTCTCCGGTCAGTGTGTCCTGCGTTGCTGCTGGTTCTTTGCACCGTGAAGGGTGTTAGTTAGTGTTTAAGGAGGCGAATAATGGAACCTGTATGTTTCGCGGGTAATTTGCCAGTCACCTGAATCCTCTGTCCTCCGGCCGGTGTGCTGCAGGTGCACGCAGGTGTAAACAGTGTCCTGCATCCGGGGTGGTGTCAGACCTCGTGTGCCACATTACGGCACGACGGGATGTGTCCTTGCAGCGCAGGAAGGTGTCCTCACTCTAGAGCAGTTTCTTCAGTGATTTAGAAAAACTTGGTTTTCTTTCACATCGAGTGCTTTCGTGTAACATCCTTTAGTAACCCATCGTGTTCAGTATTGAGACCAAGTAAGGGACAGGAGTTCTCTTGCCATCCTGAGTGACTGCTGGTCCCTTTCCTGCGGCGTCCGAGTCAGCAGTGTCCAGGGCTGGCCCCGTAGGCTGACACCAGGCGGGTAGCAGCAGCCTCTGTGTAGACAGTGGACAAGGGTCTCCCTAAACTAATCCCCAGGAGTGCTTCTGCCTAGTCTTAAGATATTTGGAAGAAGCGGGGGTGCCTGGGTGGCTCAGTCTGTTGAGCATCCGACTGGCTCAGGTCATGATCCGTGAGTTCGAGCCCCGCGTGGGGCTCTACTGTCAGTGCAGAGCCTGGTTTGGATCCTCATGTCTCCCTCTCTCTGCCTTTCTCCCATGCGTGCATGCACTCACTCTCTCAATCTCTCTCTCTTGAAGATATTAAAAAAAAAAAAAAATTTTTTTAAACTTTGGAAGAAGGAAGAAGAGAATCTGAGTGTTCTCAGCAGGTGTCTTCACCTGCATCACAGGTAGAGCTGATGACTCAGGGGCTGAGTGGCCAGTACCTGCTCCTTCTGGACTGGAAGTGCCTGGAGGCAGCTGAGGATTCCTGCCTGCTCCATACCCCACCCGGAGGAGGAGGGGAAAGTCAGGGGCAGGCGGCTTGCTCCGTTGCTGTCCTGGAGTGGGGTTCTCCCGGAGGCTTGCGGTAGCTGGTGTATTTAAGTTCAGTGTCGAATTTCTGCCCCAGGGACTCTTGCCACAAAACCACAGCATCTTGAGCAAGCATCTAAGTTTGGGCTAAAATCGGCTGTTACTGGCAAAGATGGTGAATTTACTTATCCATTTGCTCCCCAGCTTTACAAAAGATGTGAAGTCCATTAAGTGGTTCAGTTACTTAAAGTGAAATTTGAAATAAGAGCTCAGCCACATTTTTTTGTTGTCCAGTGGATTTGTCTGAGGGCAGGATAGGAAAAAACATTAAGCTCACATGCAGAAGTCTTGAAAGGAAAATACTTTTTTTAAATTATTATTATTATTTTTTTTTTAATTTTTTTTTTCAACGTTTATTTATTTTTGGGACAGACAGAGACAGAGCATGAACGGGGGAGGGGCAGAGAGAGAGGGAGACACAGAATCGGAAACAGGCTCCAGGCTCCGAGCCATCAGCCCAGAGCCCGACGCGGGGCTCGAACTCACGGACCGCGAGATCGTGACCTGGCTGAAGTCGGACGCTTAACCGACTGCGCCACCCAGGCGCCCAGGAAAATACTTTTTAAGATACCCATTTACACATAACTGTGTGTGCATGTGAACTGTATAAAACTGGGTTTTGAGGAACTCGGGCTGTCCCTGCTAAGTTTTATGACAAGCCGCTATTTTCACCCAGGACACAGATCTGGTGCCCAGCGACATTGCGGCGGGCCTCACCCTTCTCCATCAGCAACAGGACAACATCAGGAACAGCCAGGAGCCTGATGAGGTCATCAGCCATTCCCCAGGCCCCCCCCAGGTAAGCCCGTTCTGTTGGGTTGTAGAGTTTTGACATTTACACCTATTTATGTATCTTCAAAAAACAAAGAACAGAAAAACCTGGCCAGCACCAATTTCAGGAGCAGCTGGCTTGGAATGTGAGTTGTGGCTTCTGCTGGTTGTGGTTTTTTACCCGTCAGGTAAGGCGTTTGCTTACCCGGAGTTCAGGGAGCAGAGCCCGTTCCTGGCTGCTTCACATCCATGTATCTTGAAAGCATTCTCTTTTAGGAACTTGGCTGTTGCAGTCTACATGGCAGAAACTCAGGGACCGGGCTTGGATCTCCCTGGGTGTGTTTGCGCTCTGCGCCTGGGGAGCGGAAACGGGTCAGCTTTGCTTGATGGGTTTTCCTGCCACGGGTGTTTATGCTTCTTAAAGAGAAGGTGGCATGTAGGAATATACGTTTCTCTGCACCCCATCCAGCTGTCCAGGTCTTCACGGCTCACTTGTTGCAGGAAGGGGAGACTCCGGAGTTTGAGTTCGGGTTTATGACCTTGGTGAGTTGGTCTTGTCCGTAAGGGGTTCCCTGATACAAAAAGCTTTTTTTCCTTCTCTTACAGGAAGCTGATTTAGATGCAGAGTTAGAAAATTGCCATCATTACATGCAGTTTGCAGCAGCCGCCTACGGGTGGCCCCTGTACATTTATCGGAACCCCTTCACAGGGCTGTGCAAGATCGGTGGGGACTGGTAGGTGGATGGGTTTGAGGCCTCCGTCTTCTTTCTGCTTGTCACTTGCTACGCAGTCTGTCCTTTATTTCCTAAAAATAATCCGGTTTCCCCTCTCAAAACACTTTCTGTTTTGAAATATTTCAAAACTGCAAGATCAGTACTGAGAACTCCCATATATCCTTTATATGGGGCCACCAGTTGTGACTCAGTTTGGTCACATGTGCTGTGTTACTATAAATACATAGCTTCTTCCTGAACCACTGGAAGTGTAATGCAATCAGCATGCCCCTTCTCTGCGGTTACTTCAGCCTGTATTTCTGTTCCCTCCCTCCCTCCCTCCCCCCCTCCCCTTTCTTTATTTTTAATTTGAGAGAGGCAAAGTACAAGTGGGGTGAGGGGCAGAGAGAGAGAGAAAGTTACCATTAAGCAATAACTCATTTATATTCTGTCTTCACGGTTTTCCAGTTGCCACGATAGTATCCTTTGTAACAGTTTTTCCTCCAGGTCAAGATTACGCATTGCACTTAGTTGACATGCATCCCTAGTTTTTTTCTATTTTGGAACTATTCCTCAGTCATTTTTCATCTTTCATGATCTTGACATTTTGGAAAGGACAGTGTAGGTATTTTGTGGAATGGCCCTCAATTTGCATTTGTCAGATGGTTTCTTCCTGATGAGAGTCCAGATACACATTTTTGGTAGGAATGTCCCGTGAGGGGTATTGCACCCTTCTTAGAATTACATCATATCAGCAAACGCAAGAGGTCAGTTTGTCCCGTTACTGGAGTTTTAGAGTCTCTCCCATTCTTTTTTTTTTAATGCTTTATTTATTTTTGAGAGAGACAGAGACAGAATGCGAGTGGGTTAGGGGCAGAGCAAGAGGGAGACACAGAATCCGAAGCAGGCTCCAGGCTCTGAGCTGTCAGCGCAGAGCCCGACTCGAGGCTCAAACTCACAAACTGCGAGATTATGTCCTGAGCTGAAGTCGGACGCTCAACCAACTGAGCCACCCAGGCGCTCCTTTTTTAAATTTTTTTAATGTTTATTTCTTTTTGAGACAGACAGAGCATGAGTGGGGGAGGGACAGAGAGAGAGGGAGACACAGAATGTGAAACAGACTCCAGGCTCTGAGCTGTCAGCACAGAGCCCGACGTGGGGCTCGAACTCACAAGCTGTGAGATCATGACCTGAGCCGAAGTCGGACACTTAACTGAGTGAGCCACCCAGGCGCCCCAAGTATCTCCCATTCTTAATATTGATTTTTTTGTATATGTAAAACATCGACACGACTCCAGAGATGAAAGCTGTAGTAAGAAGTATGCACAGGAATGTAATAATCTCTTAAAGGCCATTATATGTTCGCCAGAGTAAGGCCTGAAAATTGTAAACTTGGGTCCTCGTGATTTGGGGAAGACAGAACAGTGGGGATCGATGTTCCTTGGTAAGTGGCTCAGGTTGGCAGAGTACCAGCCTTGCCTGTGTTTTTAGTTGTAGAACCAGGACGGCAGAATATGACTTGGTTGGAGGTGATCAGCTCAGCTGCCATTTTGGCTCCATCCTGCAGACGACAGGGCTACAGTACAGGGACTTCATTCACATAAGCTTTCATGACAAGGTAGGTGTAACGGCGCTTCTGAACTTCTTTGGGGTCCTGGAGTCCTTTGAGATTCTGACAGAAGTTACAGATTTTTTTTTTTTTTTTATGTTTATTTACTTTTGAGGGAGAGAGACAGAGACAGAGTGGGAACGGGTGAGGGGCAGAGAGAGAGGGAGACACAGAGTCCAAAGCAGGCTCCAGGCTCCGAGCTGTCAGCACAGAGCCCAACGCGGGGCTGGAACCCACGAACCGCGAGATCATGACCTGAGCCGAAGTGGGACGCTTAACCGACCGAGCCCCTCAGGCGCCCCTACAGATTATTTTCCCCAGAAAAACGTACATGGGGGGAGACACACACACACACACACACACACACACACACTTTGCATACTGTTTCGGCTTAACGTAGATGGAGCCAGAAGTCTTCATAGAGATGCTGTACTGTGTTTTTGGTTTGGTTTGGTTTTAAGTTTATTTATTTATTTTGAGAGACAGCTTGCTAGTAAGCAGGGTGGGGACAGAGAGAGAGGGAGAGTCCCAAGCAGGGGCTTAAACTCCCGAACTGTGAGATCATGACCTGAGCCGAAACTAAGAGTCAGTCACTTAACCGACTGAGTCCCCCCGGATGCCCCCGCGCCGTGTCTGCACATAGCCCGCCTCCCGTTGAAGGACAGGGAGCTGCACTTGGCAGTCGTGGCTGCGGAACCGTTAGCAACGGGGGCCGGCCTAACTCTGTATCCGCAGCCACGCGTTCTTACCCTCGGGACCTCCTGCCTCTTTCCCTCGCCCTCAGGTCTACGAGCTTCCCTTTCTAGTGGCTCTGGACCACAGGAAGGAGTCCGTCGTGGTGGCAGTGAGAGGAACCATGTCTCTCCAGGTAGGGAGCCCAGGGACGAGGGGTGGGGCGAACGGCCAGCCGCGGGCACCAGGAGCTGAGGATCAAGGCGGCGTCAGACAGGGCAGCAGGCGTTGGGGGGGAACACTGGGACAGAAGCTGCCGAAGCGGACCCCGGTTGTGAGACGCTCCCTTTGGAAAAACCCAGGAAGTCGTTTTCCTTTTCACTGAGAAGCATCAGAAACAGGCTGGCGGGGTTGGGGAGATGGGGGGCTTCCCTTCAAGAAGTTGCTACAGAGGCGCCTGCCAGTCCCCTCCTGGTGCTCACATGCGGACGCCTGGAGGACTGCCACTTACCTGTCCCCAGCCCAGCGAGACCTCTCCCGTCCTGGCCCGGGGAGATCCTGGGTGGCTTTCTTCTCCCTGTTTCCGTGACGTGCTTTTCGGTCTGTTCTTGGCCGTTGCTCAATCTCATTTCCTGATTCCCACTTTGCTGCCGCCCCAGAAAGCGTAGAGACACCTTGACCCTCTGCAGGGCGGGGGTGCACCTGGGGGTTCTGGCCGGACACCGCAGGCACCTCACCTCCTCCAGACCCGCTGTCTGGGCCCCGATTTCTGGTAATTCTGCAGCAGCCCCCAGCTGTCCCTATAGAAAGGGTGAAGCCGTCCTCGGTTTCTGTCCTGCCGTCCTGCCCGGCTCTCTCCGGCCATCTCTCTGTGCACAGTGCCGTAGCCCTGATTGTGCCCCCGTCCCCTTTTCCAGGCCAGGGAAGCAGTTTTCTACCCGGGTCCCCGTCCCTGGTCTTTCGTTTTCCCAGTCAGTCCTCATACCGTCCACAGAGACTCTTTCCAGAACGTGGGTCCGATCTTCCCACTCCTCAGGACCTCCCTCACCGCACCCTCTTCCCGTTGCTTTTTAATACAGAATTCATGTCTCTTATCATGGCTCTATCGGAGCTTTGTGACCCGAGCCCCCCTGCCTTTCCACTTCCCACCAGGCACTTCACATGCTCCGGAGTCCCATCCCTGGTGGGTTAGCCAAGCTGGGGCCTGCTGCCCCTTCACCTGGGGTTGCCCACCTCCCTGTTTCCTGAAAGTAAGTTTTTCCTTTAGTCTCTGGCGTCACCTCCTCCAGGAATCACCCCCACCCCAATGCATTTCTTACCCTCCCTTAGGTTTCTGTGAGCCGTTGATAGCCCCTTGAGGATAGGAACCATGCTTTGTTCAAAACCCAGGTACAGGGCTCTGCTCTGTGGTACTTAGAAGAGGGGTGTACAGAGTACTTAGGCAGAAGGTGTGTCTTAGACGTGTCCCACAGCCCCCTCCCTGCCATGGGTCCCTCAGGCTTCCTGGCCACCTGGGTTTCCCTCCTGAGTTTGGGTGTGAGGTTCAGTCCTCAGTCTGACCCAGGAGACTGTCCTTCAGAGGGACCCGCCCCGCAGCATCTGCTCTCAGCTCATCCCGGCGGCCTCTTCCAATGCGCTCTTTGCAGGACATCCTCACGGACCTGTCAGCGGAGAGCGAGGACCTGAACTTGGAGTGTGGGGTGCAAGACTGTTCAGCGCACAAGGTACGAGCCCTGGGGTTTGTGTTCAGGAGTGTTCCGTCCAAGAGAAGCTCAGAGGGGCCAGGGTTTTTCCAAGTCTGACTGTCCCGTGAATGCTAACCTGCTAACCGTACAGCAGATAGCCAGTGCCGAGTGAGTGCTCTCTTCCCCTTTAGTACAAACTCCCACGACAGTCCCACCAGGTTGCTTTTTGTTTCTTTAAGAGGAAGCAGCAGGTTCTGAGCCATCGAGGGACTTACCAGAGGCCACACAGTTGTTAGGATAAGTGTCACTCGGCATTTGACCCCCCAGTCGAATGCTCTTCCCTTGATGAAAGTCACACATTGTCGTGGGGAAGTCGAGGTCCGAGGAGCGTCCAGCGCACGTGAGTCTCCCGCCCAGGAGCCCCGAGGGGCCCCGCAGCCCTGTCCTGTCGCCCTCGGGTTTCCTGTGCAGAGGACACAACACACGAGTTCTCGTCTTGTTGGTTCTGTGCCGGTGGCGTGGGGCTGCGGGCTCCTCCTCCAGGAACACAAAGGGCCTAGAGCAGAGGTGGTTTTTTTAAACGGTTTCGATGACGTGACATGATATCTGTCACATTAACCACTTGTAAGCGTACGGGTTGCTGGCGGTAGATAGATTCCAAATGCCCGTCCCCATGACCGCCATCTGTGCCCAGACTTTCTCATCATCCCGAACAAACTGTCCCTTCAGCAGTCCCCTCTCGGCAGCCGCTGAGAGACGTTCTGCTGTGTGCACAGACCACTTTGGTTTGTCCGTCTGTCCACTGGAGGGCCCGCCGGCCACTGCTGCAGCCCTTCCTTTGCGCTCTGTAGAGACGCCACCCGGAAGCGGGGCCGCCGCGTCTTGGGGTGTTAGCTGGGTTTCACTCGGGGAGGAGCCGCCGAACCGTCTTCCGGCCCAGCTGCACCAGTTGGCGCTCCGCTTGCAGCGTGTGAGGGCTCCCATTCTCCACGTTCTTGTTCACACGTATCTTCTGTGGCTTCGATGACAGCCATCCCAGGGGTGCGAAGCGGTGTCTCGCTGCGGTCTGGGTTCACGTTTCCCTGATGACTGATGCGGTGGCGAGCAGGCAGTTTTAACGTTTGGGGGAATGTCCGGTCCCAGAGATCATGGCGGCTGCTTCCGGGGCCAGGGCTGTCGGGGTGGACGGCGGTGGGCCTGTGCTGTTTTTATGCACCTGGGGGTTTTTCAACCAAAACCCGTATCACTTCTCTAGTAAACGTTTTTTAAGCAAAATGCTTAGTTTTTATACAAACGTGTCAGAGCCGGAGTGGAGCTGATTGAGCCAGTGTCCTGCGTGGATAGTTCGCAAGGCGGGGCCAGACTGGAGGCTTCGTTCTGCACCCCCCGTTAGAAGCTTGACAGTCCTCGGAAGTGAATGTTCCCCCGCAACCCCTAGCTGTCTCTTTGTGCCTCGAGTCACACAGGAATCCAGTTTAACTGTCGGACACGTGGGAAGAAGAACCAGAATGTTCGACTTTCTTACCGAGACACAGCCACTAGCCAACCACAGGATGCGGTTCAGTGGGCTGGGTAGTGGCTCTGGTCTTAGAATCTAGCCGCAGGCTTTGTGCGACCACAAGATGCGCTCTGAGCCTGGTCCCGGTCCCTCCAGAAGCTGCTCCTCCCTCGGGCCAGGAAGGTGGCTGCTGGAGCTGCAGGCCTAAGGGCCTGTACTGCTGCTCTCCGCCTCTGGCTTCACTCCTACACGTTTTGGCCCCGATACTGGCCGAAGTCGTTGGAGTTCACGACCATGCAAGCGAGCACAGTCTTGGCCTGCGTGTGTGACACGGGCCAGGGACTCCGGCCAGCTGCAGTGGTGTCCAGGTCACTTTTGGCTCTGTCTGTCTGGAACCGGGCCTCTCTCGTGTGAGGCCAGGTCCCGCCTCCTCCCACAGAATTCAGTCGTTACCCACTCAGGGATTTGCAGTAGCTCGGGAGGCTCTCCCGCGTCTCGCATCTGAACACAGGATTTCTCCCCTTCGGTCTTGTTAGAAGAGCAGCCGCACAAGGACAGGGGCCACGATGGCCTTGTCTTGTCCTCCATTGAAACTGCTTCATTTTTCAAGAAGCCTGTTTCTTAGGACAGCTGTATTTGTTAGGAGGTTTTACATTTCATTTCTTCTTTGAAATGGAACTAAAATCTGACCCCCCTAGAACTCATTTCCGACGGTCTTAGTTTTGCCTTTGCCGAAACTGAATGCTTGACGAATATCACTTACTCGGAACTTTATGTTTTAATGTCATGTTAGAAGATCAGCCACTTATAATCTAAATCTGACAATCTGTCAGGACTTGGCTGAAGTAAACCGTGGTATGCGTTTACAGCAAAATATCGTATAGCTTCAGAATAAGCCATAGAAAGACCCCTTGCCATGCACGTGTGTTCCCGATGTTACCCGTTCACTGGTTCATGAAAACAGCCATGGAGCCCCCTCTCCAGGCCGAACTCTGCATCAGGAACCAGGAACACAAGGGCGAGTGGTAGCTGTGGCCGCTGATCCCCAGGTGCTGGTCTCCGCCTTGGGGAGACCGTCACAAATGAGTGTGCACAGTGTAAGCCTGTCACCTGTCATAACGGAACTCATTTCGTCTGATGATCAAAAGCCACCTTCTCTCGTCTGCATTTTTAGGGGATTTCTCAAGCCGCCAGATATGTGTACCAGCGCCTCATCAACGATGGGATCTTGAGCCAAGCGTTCAGCATTGCTCCCGTGAGGTTTTCATTTTTCTTTTCCTTCCTGTCGTTGTCATCAGCCGTCTGCTTCGTTTTAACCACGACACGTTCTGCTTTTGTCCCGCAGGAATACCGGCTAGTGGTCGTGGGACACAGCCTGGGGGCCGGCGCCGCGGCCCTGCTGGCCATCATGCTCAGGAGCTCGTACCCTCAACTCCGGTGCTACGCCTTCTCCCCGCCCCGGGGGTTGCTGAGGTACTTGTTTCTGGCAGGCGTGTGACGGGGTGCTGCGTGCTCCAGACCGGTCTTGGAGTTGTGATCTCGTGATCTCTCGTGCTCAGCCCGTTTGCTTCAAGCACTGCACAGTTGCAGGGACACCGAACGGCCTTTCACAGGCCTGCATGAGCACAGCTCTGCTCTCCAAAAGGGCACAGAGCGGAGACTCTCTTTACACAGAGGGACGGCTCACATCAGATGTCCCACAGAATACGTTGTGAAATGGTCACAAGACGTCTAGGCAACCTCTGTCTCCTTACATGACAGAATTTCTTTCCTTGGGATAAGAACTTTTAAGATTCATTTAGCAACTTTCAGTGTTTGTTTATTTTTGAGAGACAGAGAGACAAAGAGAGAGAGAGCACAAGTGGGGGAAGGGCAGAGAGAGAGGGAGACACAGAATCCGAAGCAGGCTCTGGGCTCCGAGCTGTCAGCGCAGAGCCCAACGCAGGGCTCAAACCTACAAGCCATGAGATCGTGACCTGAGCTGAAGTCGGACGCTCACCCGACTGAGCCCCCCAGGCGCCCCTCTCTTAGGAGCTTGCAGATGTGCCATCTGGTGTTAGTAACTCGTCACCATGCTGTACTTCCATCCCCATCGGTCCCCGTGACTTATTTATAATTCGGGCTTTGCACCCTTGGGCTCCGTTCACCCAGTCCACCCGCCCTGCAGCCCTCGCCTTTGGCAGCCACCAGCCTGTATTCTCCGTGTCTGTGAGCTTGGCTTTGGGGGATTTTTTTTTTTTTATATTCCAGATATAAGTGAGATCATACAGTATTTATAAAAGTAAATAAGTCTATCTGACTGATTTCAGTTAGCATAATGCCCTCAGTGTCCATCCGTGTTGTTGCAAATCGCAGAATTTCCTTCTATTTTATGGTCATTGTACATGCACGCGCACACACACCACCTTTTTTCCATTCATGTGCTGATGCATGCTTACGTAGTTCCCACGTCTTGGCCGTTGCAAATCATGCTGCAGTAAATGTGGGGGTACAGCTCTCTTTTCAAGTTAGCGTCTTCATTTTCTTTGGACACGTACCCAGAAGTGTAATTGCCGGATGACATGATAGTTCCACGTTTAGGTTTTTGAGGAGACTTCACACTGTTTTCCACAGTGGCTGCACCAGTTTGCTTTCCCACCAGCAGGACACTGGGGTTGCCTTTTCTCCACATCCTCGCCAGCACTCATTATTTCTTGTTTGGGGACCTTTGTTGTTTTACTAGCCATTCGGACAAGTGTCAGGTGATATCTCATCGTGGTTTGGATTTGCATTTCCCTGAGAAGTAGTGATGTTGAGCATTTTCATGTACCTGTGGGTCACGTGCATGTCTTTTTTTGGAAAAAAGTCCATTCGGGGTGCCTGGGTGGCTGTCAGGCATCCGGCTCTTGATCTTGGCTCGACTCTTGATCTCAGGGTTGTGAGTTTGGGCCCCGTGTTGGGCTCCACACTGGGTGTGGAGTCTACTTAAAAAGAGAATGTTTAGGGCCACCTGGGTGACTAGGTCGGTTAAGCGTCCGACTCTTGATTTAAGCTGAGGTCATGATTTCATGGTTCACAAGATCAGGCCCCATGTGGGGCTCTGCGCTGATAGCATGGAGCCTGCTTGGGATTCTCTCTCTCCCTCCCTCCCTCCTTCTCTATCTCTCTGCCTCTCCCCTGCTTGTACGTGTGTGCACGATCTCTCAAAAATAAACATTTAAAAAAAAAAAAAAGGTATTGGACGCCTGAATGGCTCAGTCAGTGAAGCATCTAACTTCAGCTCAGGTCGTGATCTAACAGTTCGTGAGTTCGAGTCCCACTTTGGGTGAGCCCTGCTTCTCTCTCTGTCTCTCCCTCCCTCTCCCCCTCCCCCTCCCTCTCTCTCTCTCCCTCCCTCTCTGTGCCCCTCACTCACTGGTGTCCTCTTTCTCAACAACAAAAACAAAAAAACCACAAAGTGTTGCTCAAAAAAAAAAGAATGTTCTGCTCCTCTGCCCATTTTTAAATCTTACTGTTTTTCTGCTAGTGGGTTGTGTGAATTCTTTATATATTTTGGGTATCAACCCCTTGTCAGAGGTATGATTTGCAAATGTTTTCTCCCATTCCGCAGATCGCCTTTTCGTTTTGTCGGTCGTTCCCTTTCTCTGTGCAGAAGCTTTTCGGTTGGATGTGGTCCCTCCCTGTTTAGTTTTGCTTTTGTTGCCTTTGCTTTTGGGGTCAAATCCAAAAAGTCATCATTGAGACCAATGTCTGGGAGCTCACTGCCTGTTTTCTTCTGGGAGTTTTATGGTTTCAGGTCTTATATTTAAGTCTTTCATCATTTTGAGTTGGGTCGTGTTGTGGTGTAAGATAGGGGTCCAGGTTCATTCTTCTGCACGTGGCTTTGGTTCTCCCAGCACCACTGCTTGAAGAGAGTGTTCTGGCCGCCTCGTATATTCTTGCTGCTGTGTTGTAAATTAGTTGGCTTTATTTCTGGGGTGTGTGTCTGTGTTTATGCCAATACCATACTATTTTGATTACTGTAGCTTTATGATATCGTTTGGAATCCAGGAGCATGATGCCTCCAGCTTTGCTCTTTGTTCTCAAGATTGCTTTGGCGATTTGGGGTCTTTTGTGGTTCCGCCTAAATTTTAGGATTATTTCGTCTATTTCTGTGAAAAATGCCACTGGAATTGTGATAGGGATTGAGCTGACTCTAGATTGCTTTGGGTAGTGTGGATATTTTGACAGTATTAATTCTCCCAGTCCGCGAGCATGGAAACCTTCCCATTTATTCTTGTCTTCAGTTCTTTCATCAGGTCTTAGGGTTTCCAGTGCACACGTCTTGCCCCTCCTTGGTTAAATTGATTCCTTCGTGGTTTTGGGGTGCAACTGTGAGTCGGATTGCTTTCTTATTTTTCTTTCTGATAGCTCATTAGCTTATGCCAACAACAGATTCTTATATACAAGTACATACCTTGTGTTATTGTGCTTCGCAGGTACTGCTTCACTTTTTAAATTTTTTTTAAATAAGTAAAGGTGTGTGGCAGCCCTGCCTTAAGCAAGTTTGTTGGGACCACTTTTCAAACAGCATCAGCTCACTTTATGTCTTTGTCACATTTTAAAGGTTCTTGCAGTATTTCAGTTTTTTTCATTATTTTGTTATGTTGACGTGTGATGGGTGGTTATGACTCACTGAAAGCTCCGATGGTGGTTAGCATTTTTTAGCAATATAGTATTTAAAAAAAATTTTTTTTTACGTTTATTTATTTTTGAGAGACAGAGACAGAGCACAAGCAGGGTAGGGGCAGAGAGAGAATGAGACACAGAATCCGAAGCAGGCTCCAGGCTCGGAGCTGTCAGCACAGAGCCTGAGGCAGGGCTCGAACTCACAAACTGTGAGATCATGACCTGAGTCGAAGTTGAACGCCTAAACGACTGAGCCACCCAGGCGCCCCACAATAAAGTATTTTTTAATTACAGTGTGTACATTGTTTTTGTAGACACATCATTGCACACTTTAAATAGACACTGCACACTTGGGGCCCCTGGGTGGCTCAGTGGGTTAAGCGTCTGACTTTGGCTCAGGTCTTATCTCGCAGCTCATGAGTTTGAGCCCCGCCTCAGACTCTGCTGACAGCTCAGAGCCTGGAGCCTGCTTCAGATTCTGTGTCTCATTCTCTCTCTGCCCCTCCCCCGCTTGAGCTCTGTCTCTCTCTCTCTCGAATATAAAGAAACATTAAAAAAAGTTAAATAGACGTTGCTCACTTAATAGACTGCAACGCGTGTAAACAGAACTTCTCTGCGCTGGGAAACCAAACGATTCACGTTAGTCGCTGTACCGCAGTATTTGCTTTACTGCAACCGAACCTGCGTAACACTGTGCCCCATGTTATGTCCGGAGTCGTCCTGTAGTCTACAAGTCTCCTGAATTTGTTTCCTGATTATTTTTTTTTAAGTTCGAAAGTATATTTTTCTTTTCTTAACATACTTAATCCTACATCATTTTCTGTCCTAATGATAAAAGAAGTTTGTGCTATAATTTAAAAAGAAGGAAAAAGGGGAGGAAAAAAGAAATTTGTATCCATCATGGAAGTTTTGGAAAATGTAAAAAAGTGGAAAGATCAGAGATTTTCTACCCAGAAATCACATTGGAACTATTTAGGTTTGTTTACTTCTAGCTGCTTGTATGTGGCTATGTTTTACAAATTGACAGTTTTTACTTACTTGAGAGAGAGAGAGCAGAAGCTGGAGAGGGGCACAAAGAGAGAAAGACACAATCTTAAGCTGGTTCCATGCTCAGCGTCAAGTCTGACAACACAGGGCTGGATCCCACAGCCCTGGGATCATGACCTGAGCTAAAAATCAAGAGTTGGCCCAATCAACTGAGCCAGCCAGTCACCCAGACGTAATATTGTGTATACATTATATCCTTAAATATTGTTTGAGAGCATGTTTTTTATGTAGCTGCTGAGTATTCTATTACCTGGTTATACCATTTTTATTCTATGGATGGAAATTTACATTTTGTGTTACTATTGGTAATTATATATAATAATTATAATTCCGTCCATTATATTTATATATAAATATTTGTATACCTTTCCAATTTTTAAAGCTTTTTTTTTTTTTTTAATGTTTATTACTTTTGAGAGAGAGACAGAGCGTGAGCCAGAGAGGGGCAGAGAGAGAGGGAGACACAGAATCTGAAGCAGAATCTAGGCTCTGAGCTCTCAGCACAGAGCCAGATGCGGGACACGAACTCACCAACTGTGAGATTATGACCTGAGCTTAACCCACTAAGCCACCCAGGTGCCCCTTAAAGCTCTTTTTATGTTAAAATATACATTTATACATATCAAAAGACATGAATGACTTCTAATTCTTTTTTTTTTTTTTTTTTTAATTTTATTTTTGGGACAGAGAGAGACAGAGCATGAACGGGGGAGGGGCAGAGAGAGAGGGAGACACAGAATCGGAAACGGGCTCCAGGCTCTGAGCCATCAGCCCAGAGC